GAGAAGACCCAGTCCCCTCAGCCTGAGGGACCCCCAATCTCTGCAACCTGAGAAGACCCAGTCCCCTCAGCCCCAGGGGCCCCACATCTCTCCAGCCTGAGAGATACCTGCGCCTCACAGGTCCGGGCTGCTTTACTCCCAGGGTTTCCCAGAATCGGCAGTAGGAGGACCCCAGATCCCTTCTAAGAGAAAGGTTCATTTTCTCTCCCTGCTTGTCATTCTGACCCGAGTCCCGGCAGTCGGGGGCCTCAAGGTCTCCTTGGTTTTTTTTCTGGCCCTCACGCCTCAGGGCTTCCCTCAAACACCCTTTGGCACAACCCTCCAGACTCCTTTGCTGCTTTCCTCAGATGAGCCGAGCTGCAAGGGAACTGGAGAAACAGAACCCAGCTCACTTTAGGTGATCTGTCAGGATGTTCCCCAAATCTTCCTCTTCTAGATAGTCCCGCTAAGGGAGTCAACAGAGCCTGGCTGGTGGCAATGGTCTGGGCTGGCACCTCTCTCAGTACCTTCTCCTTCCATAGGAGCCTTGGCCTAGGAGCTGGGAGACCCAAAAACCCTTCCCAAGTTCAGAGTTGGAGCGGGACCTGCTAGGAAGTTCAGCACCATGAGCCTCAACAGGTCCCAGGAGGAGAGCCCAGAGGTAGATAAGGGAGAAGAGGGTGAAAGCCCACAATGAGAAGAGGGGTGGGGGTGGTAGTAAAATCCCGCTTCAAGCAGTGTCTGTAGGAAAGGTGGGGAGGGGGGCATAATGACAAGGATCTGGTCTCTGGAAGTCTGCAAGATTCCTGGCCTGCACCCCTGGGTGACCCTGTCTGCGTGTGCATAGAATGGGGACAGTTGGTCCTGTCTGGGATATGGGAAGGTAAAGGACACAAGTATCAACAACTGTTCTCTGTCATCGCAGAACTAGGAAAATGCTTAGTGTTTGCTCAGTTAAACAGGAAAGAATCTGGGGAGAGAGGGAGTTTTACCCTTGTTTCACAGAGAGTATAGGCTATACACAAGGTGGAGGAAAAGGCCCAGCTTGATACATACTGATGGAATTTGTTACTTTCTCTAGGTCAAAGATGCTTTCAAAGACATTTCCATATACTTCTCCAAGGAAGAATGGGCACAGATGGGAGACTGGGAGAAAATCCGCTATAGGAATGTGAAAAGGAACTATAATGTGCTGATTGACATAGGTAACAGGAAGTGCTAGGCACAGATCAGCTGGGGAAACATGAAACACATTTTCAGTCCCTATATTATTTTGGCTTTCTCTTAGGTGGCAGCATCTGCCCACAGTTCCCTTCTGTGTGGAGATAAATCTAGAGGGAATTTTTGTTCTTTTGTGTCAATACAACACTGAGTGCCAATATTGGCCCTGCAGAGGTCACATCTTTTTTTTGAGACAGAGTCTCACTATGTTGCCCACAGTACAGT